AAAAAGATGATTGCACATGGAACTGCTATGCACAACTTGATGTTCCTTTCAAATATACAAAATTATTATAAAATTATTCTATACAAACTTCTATTTATCAGTTCTTTCTCTGGGTGCTGATAGCATCTTCATGTTTCCTTTATGGTTAATTTGGGTATTTATAATAATCAAAATGAATGTATTGCTCAAAGTCATTCTTAAAACAATATTGCTGTTGCTGTATACAATGTTCTATTGGTTCCGCTCCATTATCTTTCCATGTTTTTGTAAAATTGCTGCACTCCTCATTTGTTATAGCACAGTGGTGTTTCATCACAATCATATACCATAGCTTGTTCAATCATTCCCTGGTTGATGGAAATTCCTGCAGTTTCCAGTTTTTTTGCCACCACAAAGAGCTTAAAAAATTGCCTGGGACACAAACAGGCTAAGTCACGCATCCAGTGTGTTGGAGTCAGGGCTTGTGCCTCAGTCTTTTTGATGCCACAGAAGATCCTCTATTCCCTTCATGCTGGTGCCTCTCCACAATGTTGCTTAACAATGACGATGACGACAACGACAACAACAACAGAATCTTTAGTGTTTACAAAGATCTTTTGATCTTCTCAGTAAGCCTATGAGCTTGGGGACTTTTTTCCATGGGTTGCAGTCATCAAAAACTTGATCACCGAAGGCACCACCATCCTTACTCTGCTTTGTAATCTTAGGGGCATCCTTGACTTAGCCCTCCCTATCATCCTCCTTCTTACATCCAATAAGTGCTAAACTTTGCTAATTCTCTCTCTCCAATAGCTCTCACATCTTATTCTCTCTACTCCTACAGCCATTACCCTAGTTAAGACTCATTATTTCTTACCTGGACTGTTGTAATAGACTCTTAATTGGTCCCCCTGCCTTGAGTTTCTCCCCATTCCAATCCATCCTTGACACAACTTATAAATGGATATTTCTGTAGCAGAGGTTTGACCATGCCACTTTTCTGCTCAGAAACTCTCCGGTGGCTCCTTGGATCATAGCTATTCATATACATGCAATTTCACCTCATTAGATTGCAAACTCCTAATAGGCAAAAGGGCTGTGTCATATATGTCCTTGTGCACTACCCTTTCCGTATGTGAATAGTTTGGTTCATGAAAGGTACAGAAAAAGAAAATTTCTATAAGAAAAACTGACAAGATCTATTTATTAACAAATGAAAGGTGCAGGATAAAACGGTAAGGAAGGGAACAGACCATTCCAAGGCCCCCGTAGAGTGGCCCCTCAGATGAATATTCTGAGAGAAGCTTTTTGAAGTCAGTGCAGGGACTGAAGTAACCATGGCTGTAGGGCAAAGCGATCCAGCAGCTCATTGGCATGTGACTACTTTTAGAATTTTAAAGGTTATAACTTTACAATTGCAAATTAAATAACTGTTTGGAGGCTGAGGAGAAATTCTATCAGTACTTCTGGGGCCATATCTGACAAAGATGAATTTCTTGAGTTTGATCTCGTAAAGTAAAGATGAGTCACTGACGACCAGGAGGCTCCGATTTGAGATATCTGGGACTTTTAATAAGGTATCAGAATGCCTTATGATCTAAGAAGAGATAGAAAAAGAAGCAAGAAAGTTAGAACTCAGCACACTACTATGGTGGTGTAATGCTTTCTTAGTGTCTTGGATGGACAACAGGAGTGAGAATAGCTGGCTGCTGCTTCATTCACTCAAGGGCAGAAGAGGGGAGAGTAATGAGGACCAAGAGGGGAGCAGCTGGCAGAGAGGTGGCTTCACACGATGAAGACAACACATGGAGAATTCCGACTTGTTTGGGGCACGCTGGTTTGCCCACTCCTACACCCACCTGGTAGGTTTGGACAGTGTGTGGCTATTCTCCCTCATGGACACTGAATACATTGGTGGAAGAGAGTGACCAAGGTTTATGGGAAAAAATGGCATGTGGTGGCTATTTCTATCTTTGCTTTGTATTGAGTAACTGAGACGTATGATTATTCATGCTTTTTCATCCCATTGAATAAATATAACTATTCTTGCTTTTGCCTGATGAGCAAATGTTAGGATCATTCTTATTTTTGCCTTTTAAATATTTTGTGTTTGAGTCAGTGGTGTCATGGTGACTAATATTATGTAAATGGAAACACACCAGTGAAAGCTGAGGAGCTGTAGCAATTAGCAGACAGAGTATATAATGCCCTTGCTTCCCTCAGTTACTACTAGGTGAGAGAGAGAGAGAGAGAGAGAGAGAGAGAGAGAGAGAGAGAGAGAGAGAGAGAGAGAGAGAGAGAGAGAGAAAGTTATAGCAATATGGTATTACCCTAGCCCCCCACATTCAGACCTGCTAGTATGAGTGCAGGCTGTATGATCCAGATGGGAATTGTTAGGTCCTGGCAGGGAAAGAATCTCAAGCATGAGGTGCTCATTAGAAGATAGTCCAACAGTGGGAGGAGAAATAATCAAGTGGATTTGTTTGAGATAAGACACAACTTGGCATTGAGTCCCAATAGCATGAGGAAGGATGCTATCACTGCTTAAGTGGAAGCTGTATTTCCTGGGTTACACTTTGTTAACAATTTTATTTGATTTTTTCCATATTTATTTTCTTCTTAACTTTTATTTCCTTTCATTGTAGAGCTTTTTCAGTTGCATGGTAACTAAATCATTGTCTTAGGAATTTTTGAGGCAGATGGAGTATTTTAGAACTTTGGTCACTAAACATAAGCTTCAAAAGAACCGTTATCTTTGGTTAATTGTCCCCTTCCCATCACCTACAAATAAATATCTGGTTTTCCCATCACAAAAATATAGAGGCTAGTTAGGCAATATTCAGATTTTTGGAAATACAGAACAGAAGCAGTGGCCTTCCATAATGTTTGGTGCTTTCTTTAGGCAGAGCAGAATAAAATGTAATTAAGGAGGAAGGAAACAAGCATTTATTATTTGCCTACTATGTGCCAGGCGCTAAACTCTTTATAAATATGTCATTTATTGCTCACAGTAACGAAGAGAGGTAGGTGCTATTATTGTCCCCATTTTACAGTTAAGAAAACTAAGGCAGAAAGAAGTTAAGAACTTGCTGAAGGCCACACAACTAGCAAGTGTTTAAGGCTAGATTTGAATTCAGATCTTTCTGACCCTAGGTCTAGCACCCTATCCACTCCAGCTGGCTCTTAATCTTCAACAAATTGAATAACTGATAAATTAGGTATTTCCTATAAGTTTAGATTCTTTGATGACACTAATGTTCTCTATAAAGTGGTATACTATGAACTTTCAGATGCAATGTGTTTTTTTTAAATGCGACAGCAATTAGGAGACTACAATTCTAGTCTTAATTGTCACTTAACTCACTTTGTGAACTTGGATAAGCTAAGTATTGTCTCTGAGCCTTAATTTCCTCTGTAAAATGAGGATAGTGTTTCATTGTATGATCCTAACACTCTGATTCTATATTTATGTTTCTAATAATATCCTATAAATACTATTTTAATTTAATAGAACTTATATATTCCTAACAAGGGATTCCTTACCCCCTCCCCCACAATGCTGATACCTTTACTTCTGGGTTGTAGTTTTGACTCCCCTGTTTAGGTTCCTAAGCCAGGCAAGTTTGGCTCGGGTTGAAGTTATTCTTAAAGGACAGTGTGTAAATTAAGTGGATGAAAGTGACCTTTCTTCCTGTGTTACTGTATTTTCTTCCTTGATAAACAAGAAGAAGCAGTTAGGATTCTACATTAACTGAAATGCTGTTAGATTGGGAACAAAACAACAACATATAACTCAATGTGATGTTTCCATTACAAATGCTCTCCAGCATGAGCTGTACAGAGGAAGTAATTATCCTTAATAAAATGTAAAATTGTCAGTAACCAGAACTCAGGAAATCCTATTTTTTACTGCCTGTATTTTAAAAAGGTTTTTGGGTTTCCACAATTCTGTGGAAGTAGTTGTACAGTTTGCTTTTTCATTTGTATTTGCCTGAAGCATAACATAGATTATTATCCATTATAATCCATCATGGATGCCTAGAAAAATTAGAATCACCATACAGGCCTAGAGAAGATGGGATGGCACTTTTTTGTCCTCTTTAAGACATTTCTTGTTGATTTAATGGAAAGATGAAAACTGAGACATTACTTATCAATTAATGCTTTCCCTAGTTTTCCACTTTAAACTATGGATTTATAAACAAACATATCTCCACTGAAGCAATAAAGATCTACTCATAGGAATAGTTTAATTTTTAAAATTGATTATGTTTTAACTTCTTGCAATAGGTATAGGGATGAAGATACATGAATTAGGTCAAAAGAAACATAGTATAAGCTAAACCAAACAAGACCACATATCTGAGCAATTAGTCACCAAGCATTTATTTCCAAACTATACAAAGACAAACATGAAATAGTCCCTGTCCTCAAAAAGCTTACATTCTTCTTGAGAAGACAACATACGTGTGTGTGTGTATACACACACACACACACACACATATACATATACATGTATGTGTATGTATATAGGCATATACAAGTTCCATACAGAGTAGATGGAAGCTAACCTTGGAGAGGAAGGCTCCAGAAGCTGGAGGCACCAGCAAAGCTCTCCTACAGGAGGTGGTATTTTAGATGAGTGTCCACTTGAGGCAGGGAGACCAATTGGGAAATTTACTATGATAGTCTAAGTGAGTGGTAATGAAAGTCTGAACTAGGGCAGTGGCTATGTGAGCAAAGAAATAAGGTAAACAGAAATTGGGAAAACAGCACATGGAAGTAATCACATTTGATTGGTTGTACATGTAACTATACATGTATGGAATAATCAGACTACAATATTCAGTGACTAGCACAACCTATAGAGCTCATGCTTCACATATACATATATATGCTTCGGTACAGTGTATGTGTGTGCACACACATACATCTACACACAGGCATGCATATGCACATATACACATGTGCACATCCATACATGTACATATATACATATGTGTATGAGTAAGATTCCGCTGCTTGATGCTCTTCATCTCTTGCACCAGAGTAGACAGCACCCAGCCCACCATGTCAGCAGGAAGTGGTGCCTTCTTCTGCTTCCTTCTCAGGAGGTGAATACTCCTTCTGTGAGGTAGAGAAGGAAGGCAGCTGTATTAGGTGTGTGTGAGTGTGTGTATACACATACACACACTCATATACACACACATGCACACAAATGTATATATGCACATACAAACACATATACACATATACATAGATGGACTGATCAATTGATTGATAATTCCCCCCCCCCATTAGAATGTGAACTCCTTGAAAGCAGGTATCATGCTTGCACCTTTCTTTCTATCCCTAGCAATATCCCTATTAAGCATTCAGGAGTGTCTGACACATAATATGTGCTTAATAAATGCTTATTGGTTGACAAAAGACAAAAATACTATAAAATGAAACATTTTTGGAGATGTCCAATATGCGGATTTGTTTTGCTTGAATTACAAGCTTGTCATGACTTGTTATGAGTGCTTGTTACAAGAATTTTATTTACCTTTTTTTTTAATAGGGAGTGGGTTGGGGGAAAGGTAGGCTAACAACATTATTCAAAAAGGAAAGAAAAAAGGGTCATTGAACCCTTCTTTGAAAGTGCACAGAAGTGAAGAGATGTAAGACCATAAGGAGACACAGACAAGCATGACAGCTTTGAAATGAACTTATTCATTATACATTTAAAAAAATCAACCATGTTGCCAAGCCTGCAATAGAGGTTTGTGGGTATATATGCAATCTTTATAATCTTCTCTACTTTGTATGTGAAAAAGCTTATTTTATTTGTTTCAGAATAAAAAAACTTCTAAAATATTAATCAATTGAAGGAGAGGACCTGGACCCTTGTTTGGCAACTCAATGACCCCTTGGCTTCTTTCTTTAACTGGTTGTCCACTTCTTTTAAAAAATTAAATTAAATTTATTTTTTGTTACATTTCAAGTTCCAAACTGTCTCCCTCCCCCCTCTCTGACCCCTCACTAGAGCAAGATTTGATTTGATCGATCTCTCTCTCTCTCGTATCTATATCTATCTATCTGTACTGCTGTCACCTTCCTTCACTTTTTCTCATTGATTCTCTTGATATTCTTGACCTTTTGTTCTTCTAGTTGACTTTTGTTATGATTTTTTTAGCTCTATAAAATAATTCTTTGGTAGTTTGGCATAGTGCTGAATAAGTAAATTAACTTAAGTATAATTCTTGTTTTTATTATATTGGCTTGGCCTACCCATGAGCAATTAATATTTCTCCAGTTGCTTAGATCTGTCTTTGTTTTCTTTTTTTGGGGGTGTGTGTGGAGAGGGTGGTTATTTGTTATTAGGATTATTTGTTAAAGTCTGAAACATTGATTGTGGTACCCATTCTGAAGTGGATAGGCAATAGAGTCCAGGAAGAGGCACTCTTCTGAGTCCTTGAGAGCTGATGTGGATGGGGAGGGAGGGAACAACTTACCACTATGATGATATGCCTTTAACACTGGCCATGAAGGCTTGGAATTGGTCGGTATGGATCCAGCCACCGGCCCCTGGGACAAACAGAATTTGTGGGTGAGGGCACAGATGCTTGATCTCAAGGTGGTGAATAGGTCTGTGGAGATGAGAGGAGACATGGAGGAGAGATTGAAGAAGAGGTATAAAGAGAGACAAATGGGTCAGGAGTCAAGCAGTGTGTATGAAAGACACATGTCTCTCCACCCCTAGCCTGGTTTTCATAAGTACTTTGTAGTTGATTTCAGCATTTATAATATTCAGAATAACTTGGTCATTCACAGTTATTCTTTGAACAATTTACCATTACTCTGTACAATATTCTCTTGGTTCTGCTCATTTTGTTCTTCATTATTTCATGCAAATGTTTCCATGCTTTTTTTCCCCTTCTAAAATCAACCTACTCATCATTTCTTCCAGGGCAGTGGTATTTTATCACAATCATAAGTCTTTATTTGTGTGAAAAATGTTTTGTAATTGTGTTCATATCATACCTGGGTTTGTCTTGGCAGGTAGACTCCCAACTATTTAATATTGTCTGCCATTATTTTAAATGGAATTTCTCTGTCTTTTGCTGCTGGGTATTGTGGATTGTATATAGAAATGCTGATGATTTGTGAGGGTTTATTTTATATCCTGCAACTTTGCTGAAGTTCTTGATTGTTTCAACTAATTTTTTTTCAGTTGATTGTCTAGGGTTATGTAAGTATACCATCACATTATCTGCAAAGAGTGATAGTTTGTTTCCTCATTGCCTATTTTATTCCTTCGATTTCTTTTTATTATCTTAATGCTAGGGGCAAAGAAAGAGGGAGAAGGAGAGGGAGAGAGGGAGATGGAACAGCCAGCTGAGTTATCTAATTGGAACTGGCCAGCTAGGTCCCTACTACTCACATGTTGTGTTTGTCCTTTGTTCTCCCTCTCCCCTTCCCCCTCCCGCTTCCTATCCCCCTTCCTCTGCTGGGTTTACTGGCTAGATTTCTTTCTCAAAAACCAAGCCTTAAACTGAATTCACTCTGGAGGTCATGGATTGGACAAGAGGTCCCTGCCCAAGCCCCACTTCATGGTTATATTTTGAGCCCTCCTTGCTCAGAGTGAATGTACATAGTAATGGTTTCTTTTTTGGCCAGCAATCCTGACGGTCTTCCCCTCCCAGTCTGATTTTTTTTTTTTATTAAAGGAGCCTTCCCTTTACTCACTTCTTAAAGAAGCCTATTTGCTGAATGGCCGTTACCTCACTTAAAGTGAGAACCTGAAAAGAGCTTAGCTTAAAAGGGCCGGGATCTCTCATGGAATCCAGGGTCATCTCCAGTCATCCTGATGAATATCTGGGCACTGGACCAAGATGACTCTGGAGGAACAAGTGAGGCTGGTGACCTTGCACAGCCCTCCCTTACTCAAATCAAAGTCACTTGTAAGTCATGCCATCATCTTCCTGATGTCATGGTCCTCTTCGAGAATGAAGGACAAAACCCACAACAACCTTATCTTAATGCTATAGCCAACATTTCTAGTATGATATTGAATAATAGTGGTGATAATGGGCAACCTTCCTTTACCCCAGTCTTACTGGGAAGGCTTTGTTTATCCCTGTTATAGATAAAGCTTGCTCTTGGTTTTAGATAGATACTACTTATTTTAAGAAAAATTATTGATTCCTATGCTTTTTAGTGTTTTTAATAGGAATGGGTATTATATTTTGCCAAATGCTTTTTCTGCATCTATAAATATAATCATATGATTTTTGCCATTTTTTGATATGATCAATTATACTGATAGTTTTTGCTAATATTCCTAAAAAAATTAGACCAGTCCTGCTTTCTTGGTATAAATCTTACCTGGTTATTGTGTATGACCTTTGTGATATCTTTGTAGGTATTTTATTTAAAATTTTTTGCATCAATATTCATTAAGGAAATTGGTATGTAGCTTTCTTTCTCTGTTTTTGATCTTCCTGGTCTAGGTACAAAAACATATTTGTATCATAAAAAGAAAGATAAAATTCCTTCTTTACCTATTTTTTTCAAATTGTTTATATAATATTGGGATTAATTGTTCTTTAAGTGAATTCACTTGTAAATCCATCTGGTCCTGGGAATTTTTTCTTATGCAGCTCATTGATGGCTTGTTCAATTTCTTTTTTTCTTTTCCTAAGGTAGGGCTATTTAAGTATTCTACTTCCTCTTCTGTTAATATGGGTAGTTTATATTATTGTAAATATTTATACATTTCACTTAGATGTTCAGTTTTACTGGCATATAACTAGGCAAAATAGCTACTAATAGTTGCTTTAGTTTCATCTTTCTTGGTGGTGAATTCACTCTTTTCATTTCAGATATTGGTAATTTAGTTTGCTTCTTTCTTTTTTTTAAAATCAAAGTAACCAATGGCTTATCTTTTTTATGTCCCCCAGCTCCTAGTTTTATTTATTAATTCAATTGTTTTCTTACTTTAAGTTTTATTAATCTCACTTTTGATTGTCAGGATTTCCAATTTGGTGTTTAATTGGGGATTTTTAATTTGTGGTGTTTTTTTTTAGATTTTTTTAGTTGCATGCCCAATTCATCAGTCTGTTCTTTCTCTATTTCATTGATATAAACATTTAGAGAAATAAAATTTCCCCTAAGTACGGCTTTGGCTGAGACCCACAAATTTTGGAATGTTGTCTCATTGATGTCATCCTCTTTATTTTTAAAAAATACTTATTTTTAATTTTCAACATTCACACCCACAAGATTTTGAGTTCCAAATTTTCTCCCCATCTCACTCCTCTCCCCACCCCAAGACAGCGTGCATTCTGAATACCTCCTCCCCTAATCTGCCCTCCCTTCTATCACCTGTTCCCCTTTTCTTATCCTCTTCTCCTCTTTTCCTGTAGGGCAGAAAAGATTTCTATACCCCATTGCCTGTATATCTTATTTCCCAGTTTCATGTAAAAACAATTTTTAACATTTGTTTTTAAAATTTTGGGTTCCAAATTTTCTCCCTTCCTCCCTCCCCACCCACCCTCATTGAGAAGGCAAGCAACTCGATACAGGTTATACATGTATAGTCATGCAAAACACTTCCATAATAGTCATCTTGTGAAAACATAACTATATTTCCCTCCATCCTATTCTACCCCCCGATTTATTATATTCTCTCTTTTGACCCTGTCCTTCTTCAGAAGTGTTTGCTTCTGATTGCCCCCTCTCTCTCTGACCTCCCTTCTATCATCCCATCCCTCTCTTATCATCTTTCCCCACTATTTTCCTATAGGGTAAGAGAGATTTCCATACCTAATTGAGTGTGTATGTTATTCCCTCCTTAAGTTAAATCCAATGAGAATAAGATTCACTCATTCTCTCTCACCTTCCTTCACTTCCCCTCCACTATAAAAGCTTTTTCTTGTCTGTTTTATGTGAGATAATTTACACCATTCTATCTCTCCCTTTCTCCTTCTCCCAGTATAATCCTCTCTTGCCCCTTAATTTTATTTTTTAGGTATCACCCCTTCATCTTCAACTCACCTTGTACCATCTATTTATCTATCTATCTATCTATCTATCTATCTATCTATCTATCTATCTATCTATCTATCTATCTAACTATCTATCTATCTATCTATCTATCTATCTATTTATCTATCTATATATCCAACTATACATATATTTTTTTCCCCTCCAAGTATGCTAATATTGACAAAGGTCTCATGAGTTACAAATATCATCTTTCTGTATAGGAAAGTAAACAGTTCAACTTTATTAAGACCCTTATGATTTCTCTTTCCTGTTTACCTTTTCATGTTTCACTTGAGTCTTATATTTGAAAGTCAAAATTTCTATTCAACTCTAGTCTTTTCATCAAGAATTCTTGAAAGTCCTCTATTTCACTGAATGACCATCTTTACCCCTGAAAGACTATACTCAGTTTTGCTTGGTAGGTGATTCTTGATTTTAATCCTATCTCCTCTGACCTCTGGAATATCATATTCCAAGCCCTTTGATCCCTTAATGTAGAAGCTGTTAAATCTTGTGTTATCCTTACTGTGTTTCCACAATACTTGAATTGTTTCTTTCTAGCTGCTTGCAATGTTTTATCCTTGACCTGGGAACTCTGGAATTTGGTTATAATAATCTTAGGAGTTTTCCTTTTGGGACCTCTTTCAGGAGGTGATTGGTGGATTATTTCAATTTCTGTTTTACCCTCTGGTTCTAAAATATCAGGGCAGTTTCCTTGATAATTTCTTGAAAGAAGATGTCTATGCAATGTTTTTTGATCATGGCTTTCAGGTAATCCAAAAATTTTAAAATTATCTCTCCGGGATCTATTTTTTCCAGGTCAGTTGTTTTTCCAATGAGATATTTCACATTGTCTTCTATTTTTTCACTCTTTTGGTTTTGTTTTACAATGTCTTGATTTCTCATAAAGTCACTAGCTTCCATTTTCTCCATTCTAATTTTTAAGGAAGTATTTTCTTTAGCGACCTTTTGGACTTCCTTTTCCATTTAGCCAATTTTGCTTCTTAAGGCACTCTTCTCCTCATTGGCCTTTTGGACCTTTTTTTGCCATTTGGGTTAGGCTATTTTTTTAAGGTGTTATTTTCTTCAGTATTTTTTTTGGGGTCTCCTTTAGCAAGTTGTTGATTTGTTTTTCATGATTTTCTTACAGCACTCTCATTTCTCTTCCCAGTTTTTCCTCTACTTCTCTTGCTTCTCAAAATCCTTTTTGAGCTCTTCCATGGCCTGGGACCAATTCATATTTTTCTTGGAGGCTTTGGATGTAGGAGCTTTGATTTTGTTGTCTTCTTCTGGATGTATCTTTTGTCACCAAAGTAGGTTATATGGTCTGAATTTTCTTCTCACTGTTTGGTCATCTTCTCAGCCAATTCTTTGACTTTCAAACTCTTTGTTAAGGTAGAGGTCTGCTTCCAGTATGGAGAATGTACTGTCCCAAGCTTTGGAGGGTTTTGTGCAGCTGTTTTCAGAGATACTTGTAGGGACCTGTAAATTTTCAGTTCTTCCAAGGTGGTGTGATCAAAGGTGAGGTGTTTACTCCTTTCCTGGCCTGTGCTCTGGTTGACCACAAGCACTCTTTTCTGCCTTGGAATTGTGAAGAGAA